AATGACGGCACCATGTCTGCGAGAGAAGTTCAATGTCCTTTTTCTGAACAGTCTCTCCCTGACGAGCCGTTGTTCTATGAAGACGATACATTCGTCCGCTAATTTCCTTCGTTATTCTCAGCTGTCGTATGGTCCCTGTACTATCGGTGCCGTAAGAGTTTTCGTCACTCTCACCGTCAAGTCCCTCCCTTCACTTCGTCTGTTTTGGCGACTCGACTTTCCCTAGCCTTCAACACATTTCTCGAGTCCACCAGCCCCATCGACGACATAGGACCAGCAGCGCTTTCTATAATGAATAATACATAGCGGACGATTATATTATTCCGTAGTAATTCAGGTTTCTTCTGTTACTCTTCTTTTCTGAAAGTCGCTAGAAAAAAAAAAACAGCGGAAAACCGGCCGGTCAGCCCCAACCTGAAGCGAGCAGAAGAACTGGCTGCCTACCAAGGTCTATAAGAAAAAAAGAGAACAGTAGGTGAAAAGAGTGAAGGAAAGAAGGTGAGCAAAGCCGGTTCTATTGAGAGGGAGGCAAAATGATGGTCCGAAAGAGACCAAACACGACGAACCGAAATAGCCACCGGCGGACGAAGCGGCTAGCTGGATGCAGAAGCGGGACGGGATGCTGCGGGGCCCAAAGCTGATGCTGGCAGCAAAGCAGTCGTCGTCGGCAGCAGCCGTAAAACGTCAGAAGTAGAAACTGCGGCAAAAGTCGAATTAGCCGGCAGAAGAAACCCTCGAGAGGACCGAAAATTTTGGTCCACGTATTACGGCCTGGTCGCGCTGCCTGTCAATATATGCTATTGGCCGCGTGCTTATTCGAACTATTCTTGCCCTTGTTGTTACTCAAGCGCGACGCTTCAGGGCTTGATTGAGCTGAAAACAGACGAAGAACAGCTAGCGCAGGACTTGTTTTTCTCCCATTTCTTGCCTGAATTTTGTGGGACTTGAGAAGCGGCAAGTGACCGTTGCTCGAGACTAATGCGTCAGCGGGTACATCGACATTAACCGCAATACGGCCTTCTCCTATTCCCCTACTTCAGAGACGACAGTAACGCTATAGCAGCAGCGCGGCCACTGAAGGCACCAACGAAGTCGACTTAGACTCCAGCTTCGGCTGTTACAATAACGGTCACTAAATAGACGAACAGACCAAGAACTGAGGAACGATATCGGACGGAGCAAATAGCACATTAGGAGGCATAGCGTATACCGTGTAGGCGCCGGTCGTTGGCGTTAGGTTAGAGACATTTCCGCTGCTATTTTAGCTGTTCTTGTACATATTACTGCTATGATTGGCTATCGTGCTGGAGCAAGGAAGACTTCAACAAAGCTCGGTCCCGACTGTCTGTGCCGTTGTCTTCATAATATGCGACGAGGGCTTTGGTATCATTTGAAGCTATACTTTACACTAAAATAGCCATACAATAACTGTCGGAATCGCCAAGATCAGAAATCACAGCGCACGGTTCGAATAGACATCAAATTCGATGCCAGCAGGCCACAGAAAGCCACTGCTACTCCAGTGGCTAACGTTACGTATGCAGGTGTTGTTTTGCGAGCCGCTGGACAGGTAAACAGCCACGGTACTCACGAATCGCTAGAGCCCCTCAGTTACAGAATTAACGCACTACTGACTTGCTCACTCAACCGACTTCTTACGTCCCCCGCTTGGCAACGATGCACAGAGACTGTCGTCTCCGCTACCGACGTGGTAGATAACCGTCGAAATTTACATAGGACGATTGCTACTGTTCGTTATTCAGCCGATGAAATTGACGAAGCAGACAGCCACCAACACAGTTTCCTCCGAATCTAATCATTAGAATTGGGAACATTAGATAAATACGTAATGGGCAACGCCACTTAACAGCTGAACAGATCTTATTGACGAAATCCATCCGTCGCGTAACCCTGTCTTCATGAGACAAAAAATTACCGTTTTCCAACCATTACCGCTTAAGGCACTTCGAGCATGCCGATGCTAGCCAAATAGACTGATAAACGGTACCACATCACGTACTAAGCTGGGACAATTTCACCAAAGACAGCTGCAATGCACCAGTAGTACTTAACAGCAGAATACAGGTTCGCACAGAGGAGTGTCAGGGACAAAATACAGTGTAACAATAATGACCATTATTCGTAAGGCAGAAGAAGGAGAAGCTCAAAAGGAGAATGGATCTTTTGTTGCGTTCCATTCGGGGACGCGGGGCCCGGGGTCGCTCGTGAAGCGTTTCATTGAGCGCAGGAGAGGTTCACCTGAGCATCGATCATCAACAGGGAGAACAGCAACCATAGTAAAGAGATTGTACGATTATAGCGTATCGGAAGAAACCAGCGACTGTCTATGGGGGGCAGTGAGAAAAGCTCACGACGTCGATAACAAAGACTCCCCTTGTTAATCTGACATGCCAGGAACATCGATCGGAGGTGCAACAAGTCCAAATAGCCAGCAAAGAGCCAGGTACAGAAGAGTCGAAAGGAGATATATAAATGTCAAATAAAGATAACAAAAAAACGATTTCAAAGAATGATGATCTGAATTACTATTCGGAACGTTAACGACCGACTTAAGTCGTCCTGGACCCTGTCTACTATATATTAACTATTCTATACAAGAGACTATACGTTTAGAATTTGATACTGTTTCAAACGCCGGCCAATACTCCTTGAGTTATTTTGAAGATTACCTCTATTTGTCAATTCACGTTTCGCTGCTATAATTGTATAAAATAGCAATAGGCTTGTAAATGAATCTCTGTGTCGAACTATAAGACGAAATAGTTGAAATTTGCGGGAAAAGGTGGGGATATTTTGTAAAGGGCAAACGAGCCATTACTGCCACTGATCAAAGACTTACCAGCCAGCGACGTGCTGCTAGCGTCCGAGTATAGGTCTCAATCTGACTTTGACCTCGATTGTTGACCTTGTAATACAAGTCTGATGGGGGTTCGGTAAAAGCAACCGTAAACTGGCGACGTTCTATGAGGTCTGTGAATGTGCTTTGATTATCTCTGCACAATTAAAAAACCTTTTCGCAAACCGCCGATAGTAGTCAATAAGAGTTACAATACGTTATACGCAAATACAAAAAAAAAAATTAAATCAGGACTTTTGCTTAGAACGACCTCTGCGTATTATTTTATGCAATGAAGTTATTCGAGCTCCTAACCGAAAAATAATCCAGTAGTGCCTCCATTGAGTAGTTTCAGCTGCAACACTTGCCGCGATTTGATTTTCTTACTGCATAATCCAACTATTTAGTGCAGCCCGTCACATTTCTCTTTCAATGATCGGAGAATACGTCGATGCACTTACCCACCCAGCTCTCAGATCAGTTACCCTGACGCTCAACTTTTTTCTGATCTGTACAGGCTCTTTCCGATACCTAAATGGCCAATGACATTAATGTCATACCAAGTCAATAACAAAAACAGCAGAAAAGCCAAAAAAAAAATAAAAAAACAAGAATCCCATAAAAAGCTCACCATGACCCCGAACTGAGAGAATCACCAAGTAAAAAAAAATAGCAACAACAATGACAACGACAACAGCGCAGCCAAGATTATAATCGAAGGGAATGGACTGAGATCGAACTCTCTCACTTCGCGTTAAAGAAACCATCGGCAGTCGTGGTGGCATCGGCGACAAATCCCTGCAAACAGCAGTGACACAGATAAGCCAATGGCCTCGGCTTCTCTAATTATCCATTGAACAGAAGCAGCGTTAACGGCCACGAACTCCGAACGATGCTTCAGTCGGCGGGCAGCTTCGCGGTAGGAACATAACGTATAAGTAAGCGATATGCCACTACAGTGGACTGGTGCAGGATAACAGGAAGACAATTCAGAAGCGGCCTGGTCCGGTCGCACTGCGTCGGACCGTGTCGAGCCGCGTCATCGATTCATTCTTAAAATGATACATCAAAAACCAAATTGAGATGGAAGAGCAAAACGTGACTACAACACATGCCGCAGACGCTGGCAGGGTATAAATGGGACGAAGTATTACTATTACAAAGTGGTAGGGCAAGTTGTATTTGACTGACGGGGGGGGGGGGGGGAAGGGGGATTGACGAAATGGGAAAAACGGGGGGACACGACTGAAGTCCGAAGTGAAGTGAATTAAAGTCGAAGATTCCAATGAAAATGTTCGGAGCGGCTGGCAATGAGCGAGCGTCTGACGAAAATAGCTGTCGAGAGCGGATAAAAAGAAGCAGTGGCGGCAGTAGCAGAAATAGACGTATGAGAAAAACGAGATGGAGCGCTTCAGACAGAATGCTATACAGAAAATGATAACATCTTGTGAATTGCTTACATTAACGCTGTTTTATGCTAGGAATCTCTGTTGAAAACGACAACAACAGCAACAACAACGGCGGACGCGGCGACTGGGACAGATAATGTGCCTACGTCAGATGAACATCTTGAAATTTTCACGTGTTAAATAAAGGGCAAATGACCAACAAGTTGCACCAGAGAACCTTTGTTCAGTATCGTCCGGTTCAGAGCATTTTGATGGAGTTTGTCGTTGTTGGAGTCTGATGAAGCTAGTCTGCGCGTCCGAGTTGGATCGCTGAGGAAACAAGATCTTTACGAACTAGTATAGTAGAGAAGTTTTGCTGATAGGTAATCCTTAGAACGATTCCAAGGCAATGGTTGTGCACATAGACAGTGCACGTATAGCGGTTCGTAGAAGCTGAACGAAAACATGGAGCTATGGGTCGAGGCCGTTGATGAAAATTTGCAATACAGTGATTAAGGGTAACTCATCGTATGATGTGATAGCTCACCGATGACTGAGAAATACAAAAAAAAAAAACTATTGCTTAGGAAATCACTCGCTAGTAAAATCCTCGAAAGCTTTCGAATCGCTACGCACAATTTAAAAACATGTATTTTTTGCAGATAACAAAAAATCATGTTTTCCTAGCAAGCTGACAAGCTACCTTTAACCTTCACAACTGACGTGTTATGTGAAATTAAATATGTCCTACTTACAAGCCTTGGAGCTTTAATGAAGAGTGGTGCTACCTGGAAACAGAATAAATCATGTATATTATTAACAAGCATGTTTGTTATGTAAGCTAGATGAAAAGCGACAGTCTGTGAAAAAAAAAGCAATTATAACATCAAGAATAATCGCGGCCCAGTTGACCTGACATTGTTGATACATCAACAGACAGTTAGTTTTGGCTAGAAGCGACATTGTTGCAGTTCAAATGTACAGAAACAACATTATAGGAACTATTACAAAATACGCAACCAATGACAACGATGGCAGGGGCAAAACTCTAAGGCTACGTCAAGTAAGAACCTATGTCATAATGGTTATTATTAAATCCAGTAAAATTCAATATATGCTTGATGTTTCCCTCTTTAGGAGATACCTACAATTTTTCCTCATATAAAGACGAACTGATATGAGCCATGTCTGCTGACCCGCGGCCCGCTTGACCCCCATTGTCTGCTGCTGCCTAAGACAAGTATTTACGTTCACGAGACTAGTAATAATTGTAGTGTATTGTCTTGTAATAAGAAAATACTCGCGTGGGTTGATTAAATGATCAGTAACGCGGGCGCCACGGCCGCTACCAGCAACGAAGCCGTGCACCTAAACCCATTTACTAAAAAATGGAGATCACTGTCGTACAACTTTCATCGCTTCGTGCTGCTTGTTGTTGCCTTGACGATAATCAAGATGTTTTGCAATGGCCCGATGTTTTGCAATGGTGAAATCATCTTATCGGCAAAAAACCACACGAAGCTTTCACAAAGCTAGCTTTGGTCTGTACAATGTTTAATGAATAAATTACGTACGCGCAGTGCCGTCTTACGAATGGACATAGCGTACCTTTCTCCCCGCACTCGCACTCAACCAAGCAATGCTTTGTCCACTATTGGGGCATCTGTCGGAAGCGCGGAGAGCCGAAATGGAATCACAAAATGATACTCGGCTTATCTGTTGAACATATTGAGTATTCGAGACGTTGATCACGTCCCTTATGCCAATGGTATGTTGCGAGCTGTGAGCCCGTCGAAGTGAGTCTTTGAGACAGACGTGACCGCGCACGCAGAGATTTAAACAATAGCCGTTTACAAAATATTAATGTTCCCTAGTGGGAAAGTGTCACGACAGATGTACAACGTGCCAGGATAAAAACGTGTGGAGGGATCGTCGAATTTTTGCAAGATTCACGCATTTTACTACGTATCTACTAGTAAGCATACTCTGGTAATGCTGTTCTCTAACTATCGACGGTGAAACAGGGGCGTCCAGGTGTTGTCTATAGGAAGTTGGTTCAGTGTCAATAAACAGGAGGCAACCGATTCTGTTATTCAAATATTATTATAATATTCCGATATTCGAATTTCACTCGTGGTACAAACGATTTCCAGCTTTTCTGTGTTAGTATGGCTATTACATGTTTGCTTATTAAATTAATTTCCCTAGTAGAGGCTGATTCCCTGTATTCTCTCGTCATATATTAAGTCACCCCGGAGCTGAACCACGAGGTGCTATTGCGTGGGTCATCCAGGAAGGGTCCCACGGCACAAGCGGACCCACCGAAACCTACGAAAAAAGCAGGCCTACATTACAGAGTGTCAGCCCCGATGTGAAGCGCGATATGCTCGACAGTTCATTGGTTGGTGACTATTTGATGCGTTGCATCAGTGGCATATAGACCCACGATGCTGGTGTTCTTTATGAGCGAAGACCTGTTGTTTGTTGCACGGGTTACAGCTGCCGCAACCGAAGCACAAGGTGGTCTGAAGCCCAAGCTTAGACACAACGCGTTCCGCGCCGCTGAGCCAGCCATCTGAGGTTTACCTAATAGCAGTAATAAAGGACGTAGAGCTCGAAATATTCGGTCAGGTTCTAGGCGTAAGCGAATTCCCTTTGATCACTCGTTAAAGAAGATGCGAGTAAATATCAGAATTCCAAGATGAGTATCACGTTTTCTGGTTATGGCCCTTCTTAGAGCCTGAGGTAATATTAGCGTTCAAGCCAAAAACGAAATAGGATAGCACGAAGTTCAATGTGTTCCGCACCACAAACTGCCCAACTCGTCCATTTTACCAGACAATCATTCTGTACGCTGCCCGAAACGGACCATCATCACATTCAAATACACTTCCGCGCAGAACCGTGTTTGATATTCCGGAATTGCAGCCGGATAACGTCTACAAGCCACCATTAGATATCCTAATTATATTGTTCTATTTCCAAACGGGCTTAATCGCGATATACCTGCCTGCTGGGCTTCTTTCACGTACGCGGACATCGGCCGATTTCCAATCTAACACTAGGCGTGTGTTGTATGTCGGAATATTTTTTTTCTGCTGCGGTAGAGTTAGCCAATGCGATTACACGATAGAACTGCCGTTTGAATATGATCTATTGTTAGAATAACTATATTGAGCGACTGTGTATGCGAAAATTGTTTTTCTAACATCTATTGGAAATCACGAAACATATATGCCGTTTCGTGTATTTCAGTTAGAATTGTCAAGCTGATAAAAGACGAACGTAGAAACTTGGCAAATCGCTTGCGGTATTGCGTGCAGATCGTCTGGACGTAACTGTAGAAGCTGTGTTTCACGAACGCTCTAGAAATAAACACATTTAGTATTAAAATTGCTCCACCGAGTATTTATTTAAACTTTTAGCTCAAATCAATAACCATTCGGTCGTTCGTAATTTCGCGCGTCCATTGACCATCTACGTGCATCCAGATCTCGTCATCTTGCGATCTGTGGTGACTCACAGTCTTTCGTTCTCAACAAATTACCTCCTTTGCAACTACTCGGATTCGAATAGGATTGGACTGATGTAGACTCAAAATCCTTTATTATAAGAAGCTCGTCTGGCTGGTTGCCTAGTCGGCGAACCATCGCCAGCTACAAAACTTTGCAAACGATGTATTAATCCTATTTTTGCCGTCGTGATACCACTTTTGGGTTTGTTTATATTTTTCAGCCTGATATTAAGCATGCAGAATTGCTATTGGGAACGCTGATACGATATTGACTACGTTTGCAATTTAAATCCGATTCAACTACGTAGAATTAGTGATTGTTTCGGACCGCTAGCTTGTCTTACTTAAAACATAGCTGGGACAGCCGAAGTCCTATAGCGATGAGAAGCATTCGATCTAAGGGAATATTCATGTCAAAGTTAGGTAGCGAAGTGTAGACGAAGCACGTTAACCGTAAATCTTCTGAGGAGGCAAAATTTCGTCAAATAGCTTTGGTCGGATTCGATAAAGATTATGGTTGGCGCAAAGGTATAAGTTACAATGTTCGACATATCAAACTGCTCTAGCCATCGTACGATAAGCTTATTTTTATCACATAGTCGTTACCACCTTTGAACAGATGCCGTCAACACTTTTGTATGCGTGGTAATGTTCTTCCACGGACACGTGGCATGGCTTATTTTGCAGGGCAGCATTTTGAGCTGAAATATAGCTCGTATCCATATCTTCTATTTACTTGCTCCAAGCCCCATCTCGTTGACTATGGTAACAGAAAGAAGCAGAGAATCAAATCCCTGCGCGAAATTGCCGGCTTTCACCACGGCCACTGCCCCTGCGATACGAAGCGTTTTACTCGCGGAAACATGCAATGCAGCTAGTTCGTCGTGAATCCCGAACCAGCAGACGGATGTTGGTCACGAGCGACATCGCGAACCGACGATAACGACCGAAGGCACAGATCAATCCGCGCAGGTGCAGCTGTTGACTACGCCTCTAATCAGCAGTGCAGCTATATACGCGGGCTACTGTCGATCTGTTCCTCTGGAACTGCAGCATCTATGGTGCTTGTTATCCAACGAAAAGAAACGAAACGATCCCGACAACGAAAGTTATAAGGACAACACCCAAAAGCACGGTGGTACGCGAAGCACGCGTTTATGAAGAGGATGACGATGCCAAGAAAAACCTTTGGCATCGATTAAATTATTCGCTGCGTGTAGATTTTTATATTTCCTACAAAGTATTCTAACGGTGCTTTGACATCACAACGACTGGTGACGGATGCATCTACAAAGGCGGTGATTTGATGATATGCACATTGGACGTTCCCAAGGGTCCATGTCAAGTTAGTAATGGACCCGGAATCGGCATAAGTCTTTACGATGTAAATAATCAAGAACATCTTTCAGCGTCAGAAATTAAGACTAGTAATCATCTATTTGTAAAAAATCGAGACAATTTTATTCAATGATTAACTGTTTTGCGTCTCAAGTCTTGTAATGTTGCTGAACATTGCTTCGGACAGCTGGCCCCATTAACACGAAATGGAGTCTGTCGACGCCCCGTTTCCAATCTAAGCCACCACGTGTTTTTTTCAGTTTAATAACTAAATACGTTACCATTAAAGCATCTTACAGGACAAGTGGTTAAATGATATGTAATTATCCGGCTTTTGAGGAAACTCGCATATCTATGTAATAGCCCAAGTCCAATCAGACGTATGCCTTAAAATAAGTGAGACATATTGGCCGGACGCTCTAACCGATCGAGTAGGAAAAAAAAAGAGCAAAAAGAGTAGTTCTGATTGCAGCACTAACAAAAGTCGTGAATAAATATCATACCTTACTTAGCGGGAGTTTCACTACGTTGTTTGAATCTAGCGTTCTGGTTATCTATTTCATTAAACCTTGAATAGAACTGTGGCGACTGTTTTGCCGGCTTCAGATTTCGACTTCACGAAGTTGGCGCAAAACTAATTATCTTACGAAGACCGATCTATTATCTGTATTCGTATATGTTGATCGCACATTTTTGAATACACCGGTAACCCTGTGGACGATGAGCGTGTCCTAATTTTCCCATAGGCATCAAATTCATTCATCAACCAGAACATACGGCTGAGTAAATCCCTACTCGTCGAGAACAAAATAACTAGAACTACGTCGAACGCATAACGTGTTGCCCTTGGATTAGAACATCTGTATACTTGTTTGTACACCATTATTCTAGGTCTGTGTTCGTTGGGTTTTGGCACATTCGCCATGCATTGGTCAC